TTACAGCGTTCTTAAAGTAAGCAGGGACCTGACCAGAAACCAGAGAAGCATTAATTATAGAGAGCACGCTGGTACCGATGGACTGAAAAGCACTTTTAAACAAAGATGAGGGTAAGATGTCGAGGGGGCATGCAGAGGTCTTCATAGAGTTAACTAGTTTGGTGGATCAAAGTTATCTAGGATGGCGGATTGGAGTCAGGAGAGGTAGACGCAGAGATTAGGCTACGGGAGAGATGCTAGATCTAACCTGATTGACTTTATGAACAGAGAGAGTTTTCACAGTCTGCAACAGAGTGGATGGAAGCTGTAGGAGAAGCAGGAGAGACGATGCTGCTGATGGTGTTAAACAGCACCTTGGGGTTCCCTTTGCTCTGGGACACGAGACTGGAGAAATAGACAACCATGCAGACAAACCGAGGGTCAAATTTTAAGTCTGATTTGTTTAGGACTGTGGCTACTACTCTTGGCCTTCAGCATGTGATCTCCTCAGCATATCACCATGAAAGCCAGGGAGTGCTGGAACACTGGCATCAGACTCTGACAAGTATATTGAAGAAATACTGTTTGAGTACAGGCAGTTGTTTGGTTGAGGGGCTCCCATTTTTGCTGGTTGCATACTGTGAAGCTCCACAGGAGTTCTTTGGTTATAGCCCTGCTCAACTGGTTTTTGGGCACACTCCACAGGGTCCCCTGAAGGCTCTGAATAAGTATTTGAGCGGAGCCGTTTCTAAGAAAGAGAAAATAAGCCGGTATGTAACGCATTTCCAGTTTAGGTTACACCAAGCTAATAAATTGGCTCAAGAACATTTAACCCTTCCACTGGTTTTATGGGTGACCCTGCGAGGAAAGTTGACCATTGAGCAGGATTGATGGTTTATCCCTTGAGGTCCACTTGGCAGGGGTGAGGTGGTGCTCACTCCTCACCCCTGCCAAGTGGACCCAAGGGATAAACCAACAACCCTGCTCAATGGTCATCTTTCCTCGTGGGGTCACACCCATTAGGACAGAGGGAGGGTTAAGTACATCTCAGATACGTGTGACAAACAAATAAGATTGCAAAGCAGTCCCTCATGAGTTTCACCCTGGAGATCTAGTTCTGATGTTAAACACACTTGTGGGAAACTGTCTGACTGCTCAGTTTGAGGGCCCTTTTGTGGTCCTAAAGAAGTTAAATGACACCACTTATGTCATCCAGACTCCTCACTGCCAACAGAAATCCAGAATATGTCATATGGATATGTTGAAATTCTATCACTCTCCTGAAACCACAGGTACACCTTCATGTGGAACTCAACTCAACTTTTATTTATATAGCTCCTTACAGGCATGAAGCATGCCACCAAGGCGCTTCACAGATGAATAAAACCTAAAAGCATAAAAAGCATTTGGTTAAATAAAAGAAGAATAAAAACTGTGGATCAGATAAACAGACTAAAAACACAAAAATATAATGGAACCCTTTAAGTAATAACAATAAAACTAATTAGAAAGATTAAAAGACAGATCATAAAAATAGGTTTTCAGCCTTGCCTTAAAAACCGCCACAGAGGTGGAGACCCTTATGCTGAAAGGAAGCTCGTTCCAAAGCTAAGGACCTGCAATGGCAAAGACCCTATCACCATGCATTCTTTAGGCACGATCTCGGGATTGAGAGCAGCAGAAGGTACTCCGAGCAGAGTGACCAGGCAAGGGTGTGTGGGTGATGTGTGCCTCTGATATCCCCGCACCTGTTTCTGAGGAGGATGTACATCCTTGTCTAACACACTGCGTAAGTCCCGCTTAAACAATTCTCAAATTTTGGAAAAGTTATCTGATTTTCAAACATTTAGAGGAAAATTTAAAAAAGTGAATTGGTGCACCTGATCCAGTCCTAACCCTGTTTGCTTTTGGATGTACCCTCACGCACTACAGTACTTAGTCAAGATGTTAACGTTCAGCTGTACAGACACCCCAGGAGGTGAAGGGATGGACTTGCAAAAGGCCACCACTTTTTCTTGCTCGTTTGAATGTGTTTATACGCACGTGCTTTCTCTGCAGACCTTAGAACTGCATGAAGACTGGGCTATAGTTGGTTAGTTTCTCCCAGGCAGTTTGTGTCTACTCTCCTTTTTATTTAACCAGTATTCTAACCTTAGTTTCTTCGGGGGTGAGGAAGGCGGCTGGGTGCTTTGCTATTGAGGACCACTGGTTTAGGGGTGTGGTTCTAGCAGGTAAAGAAAGCCAGTTTTGTGTTTGCTTGACCGTTCTTTCTTATTTATTTTTTTTGGAAGAGGGTGTTACGTTCCCTGTAATTTTCACCAGCCCTCCAGTTTTGCTGTTGCCATGACTCCCTGTGTCCAGGGGCGGCGTTAGGCCTGGCTACTTGGGCTGAAGCCCCGGATGTTTCATAGGAAGCCCCGGATCTAAATCGCGGAAATAACATGCAGTACCAAAGTCCAACAGAGAGGGAGCAGCTGGCAGTAGTTTGTATACAGCCTGCCTGAGCCTCCACCACTGAAGAAGAAGCCCTTCAGCAGCCGGCTTCTTCTACACTCTGCCTGAAACGCATGAGTGAAGATGGACATAAGGACGTTTTTTAGACCAAAAGTACGGCGACAGAACCCCAGCTTTGATGAGACTGGTGTTGACTCAGGTTTGTGAGTCTTATTTGAAAATATTTGTTGTGCTGCTGGTTTGCCTAAAGTTAGCTTACTATCAGGTAACGTTGTTGGAGAAAGAAAGGGAATATTTACTATCATCTCACACTAAACACTAACAGGAACAATACTCTGCCCTGAAAATGCTTAATATGTAGCTTCAGATTAAAAATTATGTGGTACAAGACATATATGATGTTGACTAGTGCGTGTCACGTGTGTGTGTGTGTGCGCGCGCGTGTGTGTGCATGTGTTAAGCCCCGGATGTTCTTCAGTCCTTAATCCACCCCTGCCTGTGTCCCTGCTATTTCTGCCATTCAGCACCAGGGACTGCTCCTGCCCAACCTCTCTGTCACTCATAATGGGGATGCAGCCGGTTCAGCAACAAGGACAGAGGCATGCTCAGTCCAGCAGCAGCAACAGCTGAAAATATTTGGCTCATCTGTCATCCTCACCTGGTGATATTTAAGCAGGCTCCCAGAGATATTTGAGGAGACACGGACCAACTCTGTTATGCTTCTTAGCTATGTGTTCCAAACTATTTTGAGATTGACTTAACATTGTGGATTTTATTTACTCTAGTACAGATGTCGGCAACCTTTTCCCATCAAGAGCCATTATTACCCATTTCCCACAGTAAAGAAAACCCTGGGACCCGCAGCAGCCATGGGCATTGTGGGTGGGCCTACCAGGCCTGGGCCCACCCACTTACACTTGGGCCCACCCTAAGATAGCCGAGACCTGCTTTAACCGACCACACAGGTGACAGCAACCAATACTGCTCGCTTATGTACGTCAAAATTATCTTTCAACAGAAGATAATTAATAAAACGGTTTGTATTAAATTGATCCAGATGTTGTAGCCCATCTGCGCTACAATACTTAGATATTTTTCACCCTGTTAGTGGTTTTAAGTTGAGCAGGTGCCGCTTTTTGACGCGTCACACACGTCTTTTAAAACATGTTTAAACTATGCAGAATACAAATCCAGGCTCTGACTTGTTGGATTGTTGTAATTAAACTTTGTAATGAATGAAACTTTACATTAAACAATGTTGAAAAGGTAAGAAAATGATCAATTCGTATTTTTACCCTCATTTAAAAATGGAGATAACGGCGCATGGCTCTGGTATCAATCGAGTTTAATTTTTTTTTTCTCTGGAACAATCTTCACAAGAAGGTTAAATAGTTAAATGGCAGGGTTCACATTGACTGGATATTTCCCGTATTTGACAGACTGGCAAAACCAGAGCGCCTGCGGGATGATTCCTGTCACTGAAGCGAGTGTTTTCCAAACCCTGTCTCTCAAAGAGACACGTCACTTAGAAAATGTTCCCGGTCTACGAAACTTTGCCTGAATAGCGCTTGTTCCTGTCTCCAATGTGGCGACACATTTATGAGCCTGTCTGAGACAAAGTCCAGAATCTCACATCCTCTTCAGCTCAGAAAGCTCGTATTGACACTTTTGGTTACGCACAAGCAGGTGACCTGTACACCCGGTCTCACGGGACATCGGGTTGGACCTGTTCAGATTTACACAGACAATCTTTACATTTAGAATTAGAATACAGATTAAAAAAATGAATGCAGTAAAATGTAAAGCATTTTAATTAAATATATATATTCATTATTTTACAAGCACAGAGAGCCGCATCAGATGGCTGAAAGAGCGGCATACGGCTCCAGAGCTGCAGGTTGCTCTAGTCCTTTTGATGTAGGTAGTGGATTGAGCTATAGAGCTATTTTGTGTTTTTTGGGGGTATTTATTTTGGACTTTAGGACTTTTAGTTTAGAATTTGGTGGATCTTTTCTTTTTGTCTTTAGTTGCTTATAGTTGTTTCTGCCATCGGGATGGCAAGGCAGCGGAGTAGACGAAACATCACCATTGCAACACTTGTAGCTTCGGAGATGACCATGCTTGTTTTAATTATATAGATGGTGTGCTAATAAATGAACATGCTCTGCAGAAAGAGCTGCCGCCTGCAGGCAGCTGCAGAGATCAGAGACGATCTGTGATGGGTCATTGAAAAATATGTCTTTCACAGACTCCATTGAAAATGTCAACAGATATTCTGCAGTTTGTAGTTTTCAGAAAGTTTTTCTTTTATTTTTACACATTAAGAGAAGAAAAATGTCTTGACTGTTTTTGGGAACTGAAATTTATTTGTCCTTCAAACCACATAAGAGACATTGTCACAAGGTGAAGCTAACACGTGGTCGAGTGGATTCAGCCTGGTCACGGACAAGGCTTTCATTCCTACCTAGCCTGATCACCAACGCCCTTGGACTCATAAGTAAACTCAAGCGCGTGCATTTTATTTTATGTTTCATAATGTATCCTAAGAAAAATTAGCAAACACTCACCATTTAGTTCCCGGGGGGTCCTTGGAAGGACCAATGGTGGGGGAACAGTGGTGTGTTGCACATATGGAGCCATGATGGTGCAGCGACATTGACTGATGCTCCAGGTATGACCAAAGGGACACGTCTGGTTGAGTGTAGGACACCTTCAACAGAGAGCCAGAGTAGAATCTCAGAGTCATAGTTAAGATATTTAAACACAGTTCAAAGGCAGAACAAAAATGAGATTTTCTGCATGAAGCACCGTTTTAACTAAATTGCAGCAAAATGTGTGTCCAGGCTGTTCAGTTGTATACAAGGGCCATGGCAACATTTTCATCTGTGACTGATTAAAGTTGAACCCAATATCCATACGATGGTCCACCATGGTTACAGTTCTCATCATCCTCTTTTCTACCAGCAGGTTCTAAAGGAAATCCATACCAAGACGTCATCAACGTCTAGCACAATCAGCATTTCTAAAGTGTTAAAACGTTTATGTTGAAAACTGTTCCGTAAGCGTTCTTAATCAACTGTAAATGTTTGAATCTAGGTTTTCTCCAGTTACTGCTTCCACTTTTAAATCTAGACTGTGGTTCCTCTGCTCAGGATTTGCTTCTGAGTTCTTTCCACATACCTTGTTTCTTCTTCTCCAGACAAACATGACTTTCCCTCTGTCTCTTGTGTGTGTGTGTGTGTGTGTGTGTGTGTGTGTGTGTGTGTGTGTGTGTGTGTGTGTGTGTGAGGGGTCACTCTAGATATGTTTGGTGTCTGTCCTTATGACCAGCAGGGTAAAGACATGTTGTTTTGTCCCCAGTCCCTTTAACATGGAAATGGGACTGAGTGAATATTTTGTCCCCTAAATTGAATCTCAGCACTCCTAAAATAAGAGATTAAATATGAATTGATTTTTACTGGTTGTGCTTTTAAACACACCAGTAAATATAAAAAAAACATACAGTGTTTGGTTGAAACATTTTGTTTTAACAACAAAAATACAGCAAATCTCCCCTGACGCAGAAATGGTTCGATCCAGACCTGCACACCTTTTCCAGACATGGACTCTGAGCACTCCGTGCTGCCTTCCTGAGTGGCTGATACGCTGTAGTAAAGGTGATGGCTTTGTGCGGGACAGTCCTGCATTCTCCTTCGTTTTCACAGGCACTGTCTCGTTTTGGTTATGGTCTCCTGTTGTGTGCTTAAATCTGGCATAAGGTGACTGTGTGAAAGCTTAGGCTGTCAGTCAGACTAGGAAGCAGAACGTTAAAGCAAGTCTGGAGTGCACGCTGCGCATGAACCACCCCACTCAAAGGACGTGACATTTGTTACAACAAACACTCATGGGTCAATGCTTGGGTGTTTCTCAGCGTCATTTGTCTCTGCGTCACAATGCTGCTCAAAAGCAGGTTGAGACTAGCAAAACCCCTTTAAAGCACATTAAAAAACTGTTGAAATAATTGCTGATTAGTTTATAGAATTTTGAGAAAAAAGTCAAAGTGATCTTTTTTCCTCTTCCATAAATATTTACTACAAGAGGTTTGTTGTCATTTTAGAAAAAAATATAAATATGTTTAAAAAATTACATATATATATAAACACACACACACACACACACACACACACACACACACACAGAGCCGGATTAAATAAATCCCCCCCCCCCCCCCCCCCCATCAATGTTATTTTATGAAATGAAATCTGAAACTTATCAAAGTTACTAATAAAAATTCATTCACATTTTTGTTTGTATGCCAAAATAAGTCATGTGTTGTATGTTAAACATTTTATCAGACTATTTTTTGATATTAATCATGTATACATCATTACACAGCTGTATTAAATGCTAATAAATTATCCTAATCTTATCCATTGGGAGTGTCATTGTTAAGGCAGTAGTACCATTAAATAACCACTAGGTGTCATTAAACTATGTAAACAGAGCAAATATGTTTCTCTTATTTGCTCTGTTTACATTTAATTAAAAAGATGTTCTGCTAAATACAATAGCTTACAACATTTATAAATGTTGACAAATTAATCACATGATGGTGGAAAGACTTTCAAGAATAAATAGATTAATTTGAATCGACTGAAGCATGTTTAAAGACGCAAAAACAAACTATAAACACGCAGCTTAAACTATTACAGTATAAATTTTATACAATCTACAATCTTAAAAGAAAGTATTTTAATAAAATGAAAACATTATCTTAAGTTTTGATGTTGCTTTATGCTCATTCAGGCTGTTTTCGCCTCTGCTGAATCAGAAATTCTGTGTGAACTTATTGTTTGTTATGCTATTTGAACATGAATAAAATTATTTGAAAAATAATTATTAAAACCAGCAACACTTACCAAGGAAACCATTTAGCATGCTCCCCTCCGGGATCATCTTCAGCCTTCCAGCATCACATGCCTCAATCACAGCAGAAACACGTCTAAAGAAACGGTCCTTGGTTAAGCTTCGGTTTATGTCTCCATATTTCCTCTGTGATGCAGAGAAATATCCAGTATTTTGAGAGGGATGGTTTAGTGCAAAGTACTCACGCACCCTGTCATCAATTTGGTACCACTTTGCAGGATCAAATGTAGCTTGCTAACACCCTTTCTGGGTCTAGATGGTCTAGAGCAGCAGTGTCAAACTCATTTTAGCTCAGGGGCCTCATTGAGGGAAATCTAGTCCCAAGTGGGCCAGACCGGTAAATAAATAAAAAAAACTTCAGATTGTTTTCTTTGTTTTAATACAATCAATATGAAACAAGGCTGGAGCCTGAGGACAGTGTAGTACAAGTACAACACCTGAAGGGTACTTGAAAACTTGAAAAAAATAAAAAATCAATCAATAAATAAAAAACATTCCTTAGTGATTCAAAGAGCTTCCAGATCACATGGCTAGATCAGTTCCATGCAGCATTTAAAGTATATTTGACTCATTTTACTTTACATCTTTTAGCTTTCACCTTCACATCAATATCAGAAGTCACATCCTGAGTGGCGGCCAACTTCAGGATGGGATTCAAGTTCTTGTGTGAGCCTTGAGCGCAGCTTTGTTTTATTTATATTCGTTACCGAGAAAACTTGCTCACAAAGATACGTTTATTTTCACTCTACATTGTAAAGTATGAAAATAAAGTTTTCACAACTATCTCGCGGGCCGCATATTTGACACCCCTGGTCTAGAGGCTCCTGCTGTAAGACAATTTTGGGCTCACTTGTGACTGGCTGCTGTTCTTCCAGTTCGTCCTTCTGTGACGGCGTTGATGTTGACGGCGTTGGTGCTACAGAGTCTTCCGCCGCATCTTCCACCGCGTCTTCGGGCTGTGTCCCCTCCGGGTACCGGCCTCTGGCTCTGCTGACTCGAGCAGGTTCACAGCTGTCGAACGGCTGCCCGGGCAGCCCGACAGAAACTTCTGTAAAGCCCCCCGCTGTCTCTTCTTTTGTCCCTCTTCATGTTTTTGTACGTTTTGCCGCACCCGAAAGCATCGTGAAAGTTAGCCTACTCAAAAACACCTGCTAGCTTTGTTGTGTCCCGCTCTGACTCTGACCACTTCTCTGACGTCCTTAATTGGGTGGCACCCAAGTTGAAGGTTACAGTCATGGGCTGGCGTTAATGTGACGTAGCTAATGTAACAGTCTGTGGTTAAGATAAATATTGTCACTATTGTTGGATAAAAGCTGAACATCAAGCAGAGTTCGCCTCATCCATATACCGTAAATCCTCTAATACAGGCCGGTATTCAATTAAAGGCCGGGTCTCCAATTTTGGCCGGTGTCGGAGTCAGCGGAGGCGAATAATGGCCGGTCTCTTATTGTGGCCGGATGGAATGTGGTAACAAGCAAGTATGAGCATCTCAGCGGCAGGGTTAGAGTCCCCAAATCAACCAGCAGGAGGCAATTGAGGTTCACACAGACCTTTATTAGGCTTTATCTTCAACGCTTTGTAACGCTGCAGACACGATCCTCTATCACGCTCCTACCACACAGAGTCACGGTGTCAGTTAACCATGCTAATTCAACCCGCTCCACAGAACACACATCACCTTCCCTGTGGCTTACATAACACTCACACAACACGCAAACCCTAACCCTAGGCAACGCGCTGTGCCAGACCCTAGGTACTGACACGCGATCGTTCATGTCGGTTCATTTCCTTTAATGTTTTCTGTCTTTTATTTGCGCCTGATGTGTATCGCTGCTGTGGAGCGGGGCGCTTCACCTTGTCCTCCCACGCACAGATCACTGATGCGGCCTCCAAGCAGGGAGCGCTCCTCTGTTTTCGTGGTCATAGATCTGCCTCCTGAGCACGGCCACAGTAACAATCAGGTGTCGCCACCTCAAAAACTACTTTAACACGCGATCGTTCATGTCAGTTCATTTCCTTTAATGTTTTCTGTCTTTTATTTGCGCCTGATGCGTATCGCTGCTGTGGAGCGGGGCGCTGCGCGCAACACCTTGTCCTCCGACGCACTGATCGCTGATACGGCCGCCAAACAGCGAGCGCTCCGCAGTTTTTGCGGTCGGTAGATCTTTTAGAACTGCAGTTCAAAGGTAACTCATGAGGTGAATATATATGAACCCAGGTAGCAGTTTCTCTTTAGGATTGAGAGGAGATGCAGGAAGATAATAAACAGGCAGGACAGAAAAATAGTCAAATAAAAACAAGCTAGTTTTTGTACCTGGTGGTTGCAACAAACAGACACCATTGAAGGTAATCAGAAGTGAGGAACAGAAAATGAAATAATTATTTTAATGTTTAGAGCAGCAGGAACTCCGAGAGGCTGTAGGCGCATCAGTGAGTTTGCGGCCGCTGCGCAGGAGATGGGGGGAGAGGGCTGAAGCAGTAACTACCGTTGTTAAAAGAAATGTGTTTAACTTTGAAAATGTGGGCTCAATTTTAATTGTCAAAAACTCCAGCGAACCATTAGTACATTTCGCTCAAATAGAAATAGAGGCCTGCCTCTAATACTGGCCCTCCTTCCAATAAAGGCCTGGAGCTTGATGAGATTGAGTCAAATACAGGCCCGGGTCTGTATTAGAGGATTTACGGTATGTTTAGATGTTTTAAGGAAAAGTACTGACCCAAATACGTTTGAATGTTTTTAGAACCTCCTTTCTGCTCGAGGTGTTTTGTTCCATTATTTGAAGCTAAACTAATCCGACGGGGAGT